CCCCGCACGCGCCCCCGCGCACGCGCACTCCGCCCCGCCTCACAGCCTCTGCTTGTGGAGGCGGTCCCCGCATCTCTCACCGCTCCAGGCCAACTCTGGCGGAGCTCGTCGAGTCTGCAGTCCACTCCAGGGCGGTGGCGTGTGGGGCTCGCTGTTCACGGTCCCCGGATCAGCTCCATGTCCTGGTCCGCCCCGCGAGGCCGAGCGTCCGTGTTCCCACGCTCACGGGGACCTCACAACTCACACCTCTTTCCGTCTCCTCCCTCTGCACAGCTCGACTCCTGTCCCTGTCAGTTCTCCTGCGCCAGCTTTCACTTCTTTATGGCTCACCAGGGCCGCCTAGCCGCTCCTCCCCAGCCCCAGATCTCCATCTGGATGCTGCTCCTATCCTCACTCACACCCTTTTCCGTAAAGGCCGAGTCTCCCAGTCAGCGACCACTAAGTCCAGGACAAGGCGATGGTCAGATCCTGCCTCCCGCTCCCCGCCAGGGCAGATTTCTCACTGGCCTGGCTTGTTTCAGCTTCTATTCTCTTCCGTGTTTCTTGCTTTTTGGCAAATGTTTTTATCTTCTGAACATGATTTGGACAAGTTCCATGCATGGTGCATAGTTTAAAATGTGACCAGCAAAACTGCAGGGGGATCTGGCATACTTGCAGGCAGGCCTTTACCAGTAGTGTCAGGGAGCCTGGTTTGTGTGCAGCCTTCTAACTTGTGTTTCTGTTCAACGTGCTTGCACAACGGGTTTAAAATTTGGCGCTAAACCACACCCTTCACCCTGAAGCAAAAGTCCTTTTTACAAAGTGGGTGAGGTGGTGCAACTCAAATTCCAGCACTGGAGGGGTAGAGGCAGGTGGATCTCTGAAATTGAGGCCAGCCTGGTCTACATAACAAGTTAACATTTGTCCTGACCAATGAACCCTGCCCAAAACTCAGGCTCTGGTAGCTGTAGTAAGGGCAGTACATCCTGTTCACCCCCTGGGTAGTTTACTCTCATCTGAGCCTAAAAAAAGTTCTTCCTATCACACTATTCTCCAAATCCACCACCCTAGGTGTCTCCTCCCAAGCAAACACCAGTGCTTTTTACCCAGTTCGGGATAAAAACTGCCACTGTCTGTGATGCTGTGGCCCTGTGTCCTTACACTGTGAACTTTTTCCTGGGAAGACGCCTGGCCCCTCCAGATGGAGCAACAACCACAAACAAAGGTAGAGTTCCACCCAAGTCAGTCTTGAACCAACAGAGCTTTGGGGGGGGGGGGCTTGCTTATAGAACATGTGTGAGTGGCTATTACATTACTGGAGCATGGATGGCCAGAAGGAGCTGCACCACCTGAAAATCTCACTCCAGCCAAATGACACCCCCATAGCCCCATGATGGAGCCCCCTTCTGTTAACATAGTCCTTATCCATTGCACCTTCCAAGGCAAGGAAGCCCCATACAATTAGGGTAGAGGTGCAGGAGGGAGTGCTTCAATCTAGCTGAGGGTCCAATGGCCCTCCCCAGGCCCCCCTTCTATGAAGGAGCATCAACAGTCCACAGGCAGGATCGTAGATCTTGACGGTGTCTTAAAGAGCCAAGTAGTCACATGTGCTCTGACAAAGAATGATGGCTGCTGTATTCTGAGGGCAGTGCTCTACAACAATCCTGTAGTATATTACTTTTCCCTGCAGTCAGTCTCTCTCTCTCTCTCTCTCTCTCTCTCTCTCTCTCTCTCTCGTCTCTGTATATGTGTGAGAGAGATATACAGAGACAGAGACAGAGAGAGAACATTTTTCCCACACCATTATCAATCCTTAAAATCAGAAAGGGCATTTTAAGTGTTCCTGTCTTTCCACTTAACTAGGCAGACAGAAGGTGTTTAAATGGCAACCTTGACACCCTGAGACTATCAAAGGCACTGATGAATTCTCCTCCAACTGCTGCAGATATGGATACAAAAGAATCAGCACCCATCAGACTTTGAGCTTTAGGGACATTGTGTATCACAGAGCAGCTGGTTGGCTAAAAAAGGCTGTCAGCTGTTGGTGAAAGCAACCAACCACCTCCCCCCATCCCCCAAATTGAAGAGTAACTAGAAAAGACTATCTCCAACCTTCAAAGGTAGAGATCCACTGATGCTATATGTTATGCTGCGAGCTACTGGGGCTCTTAATTCTTTTTGTGCAGAAAATGGCATGAACTTAAGTCAGCAGAATCGGCACTCAAGCTGTAACATGTTGGGGTTAGGATGGGGCCATCCCAGGAGAGAAGATCCATAAGAAATTTCTCAGGTTTGACATCCTCTGCCTGAGATAAACTTAAACTCCATTCTCCAGTACCTAAACTCCTTAAAAGTTTTCTTTCAGTTGACCCGAGCATCTTTATCTAGATTTGAGCTCAGCATGGGAGAGGAGAGAATGATGCGTAATTGAAATTTTGAACACAGGTAGCGGACATTTACTATATGAAATACATGAATCTCCATAACAACTGAGGGAAAGATACTGTGATGCCCATTTTAT